AACATTTGCATATGAATATACGTTTGGCAAAGAGCATTTGACACCGGGGCTTACGGCTTTGTCTTTATAGAACTGCTTTGTTTTTTTAAAACGATATCCAACCAATGAGAAACAACAGGGGATTATCCCGGGGAAATTGGCGTTAATACAATGCATTTGTAGATTTAACTAGTTAGCCAGGAGAGACTGTGAGAGACTGAAGAAATCAGATAAATAATAGCATCGCGGAGGAAACACATAGCGTCGTGGGCAAATCCGAAAGTGTCGGGGCCCGCGACGCTGTTTTGGCCTGGGGAGAACACTGGGCCCTAAGGAACTTACATTATAGTTCGTATATATTGATTGTAGATCATTGAGACATTATAGTAGTATAGAGTTTTTTAATAAATACACTTGATTGTTTTATAGATTGACGTATGTAGTCATGGTAACATTATAGATGAACTGGAAACCAAGAAACAGGTAAATTCAAAAACTATTAATGAACATAATCAAAATTGGTACAGTGACAGTTCATAATAGTTTACATGTGTGTTTGAAGTATATGACCCAGATGGCTGAATTCAAAAATAATCTTAATTTCAGTACTTCATCAAAGTTTTTTTGGAACATTGACAATTTTCCTGAGATTCAGTATGATGATTAAAGGGGGTGCTTGAATAAGCACCACCCCTTAAAAATTGTTTGAAGCTGAGTACCCTGGGTGCAATGGTAGAAGCAAACATTGATGATATAGTGATTTGTGTGTATCTATTAAATGAGCTTTGTCTTTATAACTAAACAGCAAATCATAGAATTGGAAATGACACTTGATTATCGAGTCAAAACATTGGAGGCTGATTTGGAACAGTCGGAAGCTAATATTGCAGCACTGAAGGAAACAAACGAAGCACTGGGTAAGTTTTTTTACTGCTGTTATACATATACAGTTTACAATTAACATAAATTCTGTGAGTCGGGCAAACTGGAATTTTTAAGACTGCTAGTGACATGACGTGCATGAAATATTGTCTCCATGCTAACACCAAAAGTATGTCTAAACTGGTTTACATGACTACAATATGATAGCTGGTAATGAGTGTTAAGTTGTGGGTGTCTTTCTTTCAGTTCAAAACAAAAATGATGCATTGGCACACAGTGATGAAGTGGAGCATGAAGTCATCCAGTTACAGGGTATGTATCCAGGCATGTCTGTGTCTATTCAATACACAATACATAACCACTTCCATGTCATTGCAATATTCAATACACAGTACATAACCACTTCCATGTCATTGCAATATTCAATACACAGTACATAACCACTTCCATGTCATTGCAATATTCAATGCACAGTACATAACCACTTCCATGTCATTGCAATATTCAATACACAGTGCATAACCACTTCCATGTCATTGCAATATTCAATACACAGTACATAACCACTTCCATGTCATTGCAATATTCAATGCACAGTACATAACCACTTCCATGTCATTGCAATATTCAATACACAGTACATAACCACTTCCATGTCATTGCAATATTCAATACACTGTACATAACCACTTCCATGTCATTGCAATATTCAATACACTGTACATAACCACTTTCATGTCATTGCAATATTCAATACACTGTACATAACCACTTCCATGTCATTGC